ATGCCTTTTCCTTGTCGGGTTGTGGGCGCTGCCGTCGCACACGCTCGCGTTCAAAGCATGATGCGTCATCGTCATGATTACCTCTCTCCCCCTCCCCATCCCTCCCTCCCCTCCTCCCGTCCACCTCCTTCCCTCCTCGTCCCCGGCCCCTTTCACTTTGCCCTTCTGATCCCTCCCTGCCACCGCACCCTGCTGTGCCCCGGCTAGAGCGAGGAGTCTGACGAGGACGGCCTGGCCTATGAGCGGCGGTTGGAGGCGGACCTGGAGAGAAGCTACGAGGAGTACCTGGCGCGGCGCGGGGACAGGTGTGGGTGTGTGTGTGTGTGTGTGTGTGTATGTGTATGTGTGCGTGTGTGTGTGTGTGTGTGTGTGCGTGCGCGCGCGCGCGTGCGCGCGCGGGCAGGGGTGTGCCTGAAGGTGCACGTAGGGTGGTGGGTTTCTGCGTGTGAGCGTGTACGATGATGTGTGTGCGTGTGTTGTCTGTGCGTGTGCATGCGGTGAATCTGAGAGTACCTAGGATTGGGGGGCCTCAGTAGTGAGTGAGTGGAAGCGGTTGCTATGCAACATTGTCTTTTCGCTCGCCGCGCCGCCGGCCCCCGCGGTCCGACAGCTGGCGTGCTGTCACAACTGCCGCTGCCCCCAGCCTCCCGCCGCACATCTCATTCCTTAGCCCCTGTAAACGCCGCATCGACCGCCCGCTCGCCTTCCCCCCACCCGTCCCAGGGCCGTCGCCGCACGCGAGAAGCGCAGCCGGCTGCGCAAGCGCGGCGGCGACCTGTCAGACGACGAGGACGCGCCAGCTGGCGCCGACGACGTCATCACCAGCGAGGATGACGACAGCGGCGACGACGCGTACGAGGCGTTTACGGCCGCGCGGGCCGAGGCGGAGGCAGCAGAGGCGGGCCGCGGGGCAGGGCTGCTGGTGCGGTTGGAGGAGGGGCGGGCCGGGGTGGCCAAGGGCGGCAAGGCGGCGGCGGCTCAGTGGTTTGGGCAGGATGTGTTCGACGACCCGAATGTGCTGGGGCCGGAGGACAGCGACGAGGAGGAGGAGGAGGGGCAGCAGCAGCAGCAGCAGGCGGGCAAGGGCCGGGGCGGGGCGGCGGAGGCGGGGGCGGCGGAGGGCAAGGCCGCGGCGAAGAAGGGCAAGCGCGCCGCTGCCGCCGCCGCCGAGCAGCCCACGGTCGGCCCGGCCTTCGGCCCGCAGCAGCAGGAGCAGCAGCAGCAGGGCGCCAAGCGCAAGCGCGGCGGCGCCGCCGCCGCCGCCGCCGCGGCGCCGGCGGCCGCGGGCGGGGTTGACGACGGCGGCGACGACGGCGGCGTGAGCAGCGGGAGTGAGGAGGGGGACTCTGATTTGGAGGAATTCGAGTCGCTCGACGACCACAGCCGCGCCCAGGTGCTGGCGCTGGCCAAGAAGATGCTGCGGCGGAAGGACAAGGAGAGCGTGATGGACGCGGCCTACAACAGGTGCGGGGGGGGGGGGACGCGTGATCAGTCGAGGGAGGTCTGCTTCGGGGTTGTTTTGTTGTGTGTGCAGCGTCTCTTGCCCCATCGACCTCACACGCCACCGCGACTCGGCGGCCTTCCCTGCTCCCTGCACAAACACCATAATCACACACACACGTACTGACATACACGCACACACACATGCGTGCGCCCCCCAACTC